TTTGCTGCCTCAGTAGTGAAACAGTATTTTCCAATTCCCAGTCAAGTTGGTTTTGGAAATTCAATATTGAACTTTCAAATTAGATTTTTACAGCTTTTAATTGGGTTTAAACAAGCATAATTTCATGGCTGTTGCCCCTAGCAACCGTCAATGTGACATAGTGTTGCTTTAGTGTATTAAAAGGCCATCTTTGTTAGGAAAGTAAAACTTGAAAACATTTTGATTACAGAAAAATCTTTTGAAATACTGTTAGACTCAGAGATTCATTTTTTTTTTTTTTGCCAAAAAACGTCATCAGTGCGCAATTGGGAAATTTTAGTCTTATGTTTAACAAAATTGAAACAATATTAAATCCGACTGATCCTTGAAAATAAAATACTTTATTTTTGCTGGATTTAATTTTCACTGAAAAGGCTTTTTGAGCGTTTTGCTTGGAATTTATTTTCACTGATTTTTGATGAGTTAAATGTGAAATATAAGAAAAAAAGTATATTCGCAGGATTTTATTTTCCCGGAATCATCCCTTCAGCGAAAATAAATTCCAAGCAAAAATAAAGTATTCTACAGTATATCCTTATAGCTATTTAATCTGCGCAATATATAAATAATGACAAAAGATAACACTGCAAGTGAGATTGAACAGAATTAAATTAATGTATGATAGTTAACATCATACTGGTTGTAACAGTCTATTTTTAGAGCCTGTATCGAACTGAATTGTTAGTTTCTCTGTGGTGCTTACTTTGCAGCATGTTGTTAGATGGTGTGTAAATACAACATGCTCTTAACTTTATCAAAACACTGTCCTGAATAATATATATATATATATATATATATATATATATATATATATATATATATATTGACAGATGTATTGACATCTGGAATAAAAACACACCAAAAAAAAAGCCGCTATAAGTTTGAGTGGATACACTAATTATAAAACATAACATCATTTGGAATATTTGACAAACCATAACATTGCAAGTGAGATTGAACAGAATTAAAGAAATGTACTTTATATACTGATTTATAATATGAAACATGTCATATTACGGAGCTTGACATTGTAGACCGCATTATAAAAAATAATATGCTGAATATAGTACTGATTATGACATATGGCTTTTGTAAAATTGATATGTGTAAGTTACACGATATATATAAGGGCTTTTACTAGAGAACATACAGTAAATCATGGGATACACAGTTGTAAGGGACTTGTGTGTATATTCACTTCCCATTTGCAATACAATATTGAACTAAAATATCCTGGAAACTGAACAATACATGTTTGTTATCATGTTACCATGGCAATTATACTTTTTACGATAAAGAAATATATGTTATTTGAGGTTTATCCCATTTTTACCTTGCCCGTAACATCAAAGATGGAAGGGAAAGGTATATTAAGGGAAAAATTTCTGTCCGGCGTTGTCGTCGTCGTCGTCGTTAATAATGTTATTGTGTGCACAATAACTTTACTAATTCTATTCCAAACTTTA